ATTAAAATATAGCTGTATCTGCAACTGTATTTGATAATGTTTTGAACTTTTAAAATACTGCATGGTAAAAACAGAAGCTGTACTTCATATTACTGACAAACTTTGGCCTTTTTTAATGGGTTACTTTCATTTTTGCTTCTACTTTTAATTTAAAATACATTTCCATTCTCAGCCGGTTTTAAGGTTCTTTTTATACATATTAAAATAGTTGTTAAACAACTGAGTGGTGCACTACCGCTACTAGTGGCGAGAAAATGTATTGCACCTAATTCAAAATCAATGTGGTCTCACGGCCCTCTGTGGCCCAAAGTTAAAAACTGTTGTTCTTTTGAGGCCCATAAGTTAAGAATCTCTATTCTAAAGTGCAAGTATTTACTGCGAATGGAAGTTAACCTGTATTTGCAGAAAATGCAGAAACTGTGATGAGGCTGACATTAATACACCTAACATTGTTTACAACATCTTTTAAATTGTCCCTTTTTAATGCTAAGGTTGTCGTGGAGCTATTGTGGTGGCGGAGGCCCGCTCAGCAGAAGAACCACTACTGACCCGCCGCTGTGTCATCATGAAGGTGCAGGACTTCACCACAGAGAAATACATGGAGGCCCAGAGACAGAAGGCTGCTGCTGTTCTGATTTTACTGCCCCAAAACATTTCCAGCATCCCTCATGAAAAAATACAGGTAAACCTTAGAAAATAACTTATTTTTTGCTTTGAAACAAACAAAACACTAAAAAGTATCTAGTCATATGAGTAAATCCAAAGTTGCTATAACACATGAAAACATATTTTTATTTATCTCAGTCCTTCATGGTGGGTGAGAGTGAAGCCTTACAGAAGGAAAGCCTGATTCCTGTGTARGTAGCACCAGAGGATGAGCAGTTACTTTACATGTACGAAGAAGTGAAACAAGCTGCAGCCACTCGGACCTTATCCATATTTGTCAGAGGTAAGCTGGAGAACAGGACCTGTTGATGCGTGGTGATGATTTTAAATAAATAGGAAATGCGTACAGAGAATGGGGGTGGGGTGGGTGGGGTCAAAATGGTTACATAAAAGGTAATAAACTAGGTGGTGTGAGATTCTCACAGTAAGTTCAACTTGAGCTGAAATGTCACAGCGTTATCTAATTCAAACGATTTAAAACCGTAGTATTTTTTTTATTGGTTTTCCATAAAAACATAAATGCAACAACTACTTCTGTTTTACAGTATTGTTGGGAGCCTGAAAAGGATGTTATGAGCAGTTAATGAGCCGAGTTACCAGAGATGTAAAGTATCAAAGTATAAATACTTTGTTACTTTACTTAAGCAGAAGTGATGGTTATCTATACTTTACTGGAGTAGTTGTTCTTCAGCAGATCATTTACTTCTACTCCTTACATTAAAAATGCAACAACTAACTTGTTACTCCTTTTACATTATGGCCCGTTTTAATTTTGGCTTGTCATCATTAAAATAAATAAATAAATCTATCCAGATATAAGACACCTCCTAATATAGAGTGAATTTAATTGTGGTTGAATAAGAAGTATAAATATATACTATTCTGACACCTTAATGGTTTGAATGATCCATCACACCTGTATGACACGAATCATGTCACTCTACTGCAGCACATGCAGCTGAAACAGAGGACCTAGTGCAACCCAAACTTTTAAACATTAAAAATTTAATGCAACATTATAATTATTATGGCCTTTAGAAAAATGTTTTTGGGGAAGTCACCTCCCAATAAATGTAATTTTGGAAATTGCTCAGTTTTACGCGATTCTTTTACTTTTAAGTACCTTTTATATAAAAAAGATGTACTTTTAATACATAAGTAATATTCTTCAAGGAGTATGCTAATACACCACAGAAACCCATTGATAAAAAGAACTTTTGATTTTCAAAGCCATGGTATACTTTAAAACCGAAAGCCTGTATTGCAAAGAAAAACAGGACATGAAGTACCTCTACTAAAGTACTGGTGCTTTCATTGTTGGCAGTACTCCGAAGTATGGTTACAGCTACGGCCTTTCAGATGTTGGTGAGCAKCAACGCTCCGGTTAAGGCCATCTCTGACACTACTATGGTCACACTGGAGGTTAGAGAGCTCTTTAGTGTTTTCCTCTTTCCATAAAGAAAAATCATTTAACAATAGTCTTTAAGTAGACATACGGCACCTTTTCTTTAAACCTTTAATAGTTTTAATCTCCTACCTGATGTGTATTTCAGGGAGTTCTGCCTGGAGCCGGAGAGGATGTACCCACCATCGTCATCACAGCTCACTATGACTCATACGGTCTGGCTCCGGTGAGACAGAAGCAAAAACACTTCTAAGTTTAAAGGTTTAGAGATTTAACCTGTGGGAGATGTTTGATCCTTTCTCACTCTTAAAACATAAGGTTTTGCAAAATGGGAGCTGAGAGAGGAGGAGTTTCATGAGKTTTATTTATTTATTGATTTATTGATTAGGATCCCCATTAGTTTCCACCAAGATGGTTACTAACCTTCCTGGGGTCCAACTGATATAACATACAATATTTATACAACACATAAAATCATGACATAAAATATACATGAGATTAGTCAAATTCTACATTTTACAAAATTACAAACATAAGCCTAGTTAAAAACAAAACCAATAATAACAATAATAATGACAAAATAAGATTTAATACAAATAAGATCCCAGTGCTCTTTTAAAAGACAATGTACTTTTTAAATATCTAATGTTTTTAGGTAATTTATTCCATTCCTGAATAGCTCRATAAACTACTGATTTTTGTAACAAATTTGTTCTAGCATGATTTGCAATTAATTTTGTTTCACAAGAGTATCTAGTAACATAATTATGTATCTGATCAGAGTAAAAAAGCTTTTTCCACTGATTCATGAGATCATGTGGAGATGACAGGATATTCATCTTGAGAAAACAATGCTTTCTGTTTGGTTGGTTTAGATAGCATGTCTGCTAAGTCGTAATGGTTTGTTGTTTGTTTTTTGTTGCCAGTCCAACTTTCTGTACAGACAACAAAATAAAATGTGGGTGGGAAACCCTCATTTSCCCCACTTTGGGCCTTTAAACAAGGTTTTTAAAAGCTGCTCCCCTGGRGTTTTAAATGGCAGCACTATGCTTCACATATGCGATTGGAAAAAATGCAGAAAGAATTTCCCCTATGAGGGACAATAAAGGGTATTATTAAGCCGTTCCTCCTGTCTGCATAAATCATTTTGTTTGTTTTTCGTCTAAAACAGTGGCTATCATACGGTGCAGACTCTAACGGCAGCGGGGTCACCATCCTGCTGGAGCTGGCGCGTCTCTTCCAGAAACTTTATAGCAGCTCCAGCACCAGACCACGGTGAGTTCCAGTTCGTCTGGGTCGTGTTTCTATGAAGCACACTGCAAATACAAAAATACGGCAAACACGCAGCTAAAAGAGAACGTATTGTGAGTTTTGTACAAATATATGTTCTAGATACAATTTATTGTTTTCCCTAACTGGAGGAGGGAAATTTAACTTCCTCGGCACAAAGAGGTGGATTGAGGAGAATCTTGATCACGCAGGTGAGTTTGGAGCTCAGCAATCATGCAGATCATGTGTTGAAAGATGTGCTTTTAAACTTAGCACAAAAAGTAAGGAGATTTGGGTTTGGTAGGTTATTTTTATAGTAACAATGGTTATTGGAATAAATCTTATACCAGGCACCTGATTGYGGAGACCAGAAGTTCAAAACAAGAGTCAAGTAACAACAGCAAAAMAAGCTGTTTGGCAGAGAAGTGTTTCATTTGCGCAACCCTCACACTCAGCTCTACTGCTCATCCCACAAATGCATGTTCCTRACAAATGTGGCACCATTTAAAAAGGAGACAGGCTMTCAAATGATATAAGATTTAATGCCAAGAAGCATTTTTACAACAAAGAAACAATCTACCAAACACAAACATATTTAAGCCTAATCATTTGTTATTAAAGTCAAACATTTCCACCTGCAGAGTCCAGCCTGCTTCATGACAACGTGGCATTTGTTCTGTGTTTGGACACACTGGCCAACGGCGACGAGCTGTACGCGCACGTGTCCCGCCCACCTAAGCCTGACACCCCCCTGCTCTCCTTCATTCAACAGCTGGAGGAGGTAAGCAGCTTTATAGTTTTATGAGAAAGCATAAATATGTCTTATCAGTGGTAATGGTCTCGCCTGGTATTATTGTGTGTTTGTCCTGCCCCYCCCTGCCCCGCCCTCAGGTAGTTTCCTCCAGATTTCCCTGGGTGAAGGTGGGATTGGTTCACAAGAAGATCAATCTCYTAGAATCCACTGTAGCTTGGGAACATGAACGCTACAGTCTTCGAAGGATCCTGGGATTTACGCTGTCTCATCTGGAAGATCCCAAATCAGGGCTCCGTGGCTCTGTGCTGGACACAGTGTAAGCACAAAATTARAGAAGAAAATGTGTTTAAAAAATTAAAAAAAACTGAATTATGCCAATGTCACATTATAGATCCCAAGTGGATTTTAGAAAACTTAAACGAAATGGAATCATCATAGCAGAAGCCCTGGCACGATACATGTACAACCTTTCTGACAAAGTGAGTGGATGCGACAAACAAAACAACAATTATTATAACCGGAAAAAATACATACATTTTACATACATATACATTTTAATATGCACTCTTTTTACATTAAGGGTTCTCCAAAGGATGTGCAGGTTTTTAGGGGTCATTTGGTAAGTTTATTGTTTTTAAAAACTTTCCCCCATTTGGTTGATGTGCTGTCATCTAGTGTTTATTCAGTGTCACTACACATTCACAATTTATTTTCAACAGCCTGGATTTCTCTTATTTCTGCTAAAATTGATCTGTTGATTGTACTTATTTGAAGTTTGGGTTCATTTAAAGGATGAATTTAAAAGGCTTTTTAAAATACCAGCTTGATGTCACACTTACTGAGCAACGTCAAACAAACTATTATTATGGAGTGTTTTGTTTTTAGTTGTGTCAGTTTGACTCCCTCTCTGAACCCACATCTCTATCCTTGATGCAGGATTTTCATGACAGCCGTATGTCCAGCATAATGTCCTTTTTGACCTCCGTCCCTCGGGCTGCCCAGCTGCTGGACAAAGAACCGAATCAGATCCTTCTGGTCAACTCACTGGAGCAGGAGTTTAGACGTTACCTGCAGCAGGTCCACAGACACTCCTTCCGACAGGACAAAAGGTGACTCACATATGCTTCTTGGTACTCTCAAAGGAGCAGAAAGAACAAATAAGATATTGTGAATATTGATTATTGGTATTTCTTTGTGCAGGGAGCCAGATGTCACCTTTTATGATCAAATGAACCAACCGATAGTGATGTACAGGTAAATCTCATGGCTCCTTTGTGCATCAGCTAAATTCAATAAGGATTAAAAAAACATTTTTTTTTTTTATTTCCAGGGTGAAGCCAGCAGCGTTTGATCTCTTCCTGGGTGGRTGCATCGCTGCGTATTTGGGGATTGTTTATTATGCAATTCAGGTTTGTTGATCTGCAGCCTTAAAAACTCACTACTACAGAGGTGGGATGTAATTAAGTTTCCCAGGTAATTTCTTCAAATTTACACAACATAACTAC